TTGACAAACATCATATGTGTAATTCGTGGCACAATTCAAACGGGATCGAAAGATAATCTTTCTCTCCCCATTGACTTCAATGCATACTTTTTCCGAAATAAGGTCACATGGGTCGGAAGTGAAAATGGAAATGGAAGTGTTACATTTCAAGGGGGGGAACAAGTGAGTTATTGTTGGAAGGCTTTGTTGAACAGATGAGTTTTCAGGGTAATGGATAATGCTTCACTTCTTAGACATTTTCATATACTGTATGTTGCCTTTGGATATGGCACAGGGGATCACATTTCAATGAACTGTGCAGCCCTAATAAGCACCACTTCAGAACAACAACGACCCCTTTGACCTGTAAACTATTACAATGAGATCATTCTTACAGCATATTGTGTGTATATTAACTGTCATAAAACTAAAGATAGTAATATTTGGTCTTTCCAACTGCTTTGAAGTTCTGAAATGGTAAATTAATTAGCCAACATTCCCTTAACACTTGTTGAATGGGATATAATATACAATAAAGTAAGGTCAACTGATATAATGCATACTGAGCTTTGTTGTTTTTCTACTTTTCAACCTTAAAGCTAAGGTGTGCATGTTTGCCAATCGGCTAATTCAGCTTTTACCTCTGAATCTACAATGTTTACTCTTCGATGTTATCAGCATACGTGTTTTCAAACCATTTCCCTGCTGCAGACTACAGTACCTATGCAGTCGAGACCATTGCTGGAGAGGAGCCACTTGGTGACCCTGCCATCTGCCGACACAGCAACCAGAGCCTCCACCCTGTCCTCGCCTGAGAGCGCCATCTCCTGTTTGGTCCAGCTGACCTGCCACACTGGGTGCAGGTGCTTTTTGTGACATTCACTATAGAACAGAAACATAAAAGCAAGCTAAAGAAAAGGGCTTTGGTCAAATATAATGTATTTCCAAACTCCAACGTGTCCAGACATCTCTCACCTGCTGTCGGTGATACATGGGATGTTCCTCCTCTGGACATTGTAGATGGCTAAAGTGCCGTCTAACATCCCCACAGCCAGCTGGCCGGGGTTATTGGCGGAGAAATCCAGAGACGTCACACAACACTTACACTGGAAGACTCGCTCCGGCCACTGCACAGGAGACACATTCAGTTATACAGCTCATTGTGCTGGGTGTATTACGGACTCTTTGCACTCATTTTGAGTCTCTCTGTGGTTGTTTTGAGTCTCTTTGTGGTTGCTTTGAGTCTCTTTGTGGTTGCTTTGAGTCTCTTTGTGGTTGCTTTGAGTCTCTTTGTGGTTGCTTTGAGTCTCTCTGTGATGGCTTTGAGTCTCTTTGTGGTTGCTTTGAGTCTCTCTGTGGTTGCTTTGAGTCTCTCTGTGGTTGCTTTGAGTCTCTTTGTGGTTGCTTTGAGTCTCTTTGTGGTTGCTTTGAGTCTCTTTGTGGTTGCTTTGAGTCTCTTTGTGGTTGCTTTGAGTCTCTTTGTGGTTGCTTTGAGTCTCTCTGTGGTTGCTTTGAGTCTCTTTGTGGTTGCTTTGAGTCTCTCTGTGGTTGTTTTGTCCCCTTTTATAGTCACTGTGAGTTTCTTTGTGTGTTTTTTTTGTGCCTGGTAGGCCCGTTCAGTAATCCATCAATGTTAAAAATATATTATGTAAGTTGAACTACAGGTTGAGATAAGGCTCTGAAAAATGTTGAGTGAAAGGGCAAAATAAATGATAACCATACCGTGGGGTTTTTGAGGGACCAGCAGCAGATCAGACCTGGCGTCTGGGTCTCAGGGTCACAGTCACCGTATCCCACTGCCAGAATATCCTGACGCAGAGCACAAACACAGATTTTAGTAAAGAAACTTTACTGGCACAAAAAAACAACAACAACAAACACTCCTAGAAGTGTTAGTTGCACATATATTGTAAATATGTTCTATTTAGTGTCTGGGCACCTATTGTAAAGCTTTTGATCGTTTGTTGGGGTGTCCCATTTCACATATCTCCATTACGTTTTATAATTCTACCTGTACTTTTAAACTGTTTGTGAACAAAAATGAATTGATTTTAGTAATCATTCATTGGGCTTTAAACTTACCAGAAATGTATTCACAGTTTAGACACATTTGTAGTAATGTGCAAAATGCAGATATGTTACTATTATTAAAAAGTGTCTTAATTGTTGACTGTGCAGAGTGAATGCAGAGAGAAGGTAAGACACAGAAAGAAAGTGAACCCAGAACGACATGGTCTCTGTTGTGTGAACCTGGTTGTGCTTGTTCCAGGCCATGCAGGTGATGTTGTGTCCTCTGGTGAGTTCACAGCTGAAAGCCCAGAGACGCTCAAGAGTTGGAGATGAAGAGCTCCCCTCACCCCTGTCGCTCTGTTCCTCTATCCCAGGCTTCACTGTGCTGTCAGGGTCTAACACAACAAACAGTGCATACAGTATTTATTCAAATACACTCACAAAAAACAGAAAGGACCAGATGTGAAGTACTGCACTTATAGAATAGAATTGGGAGGGATGAAACCCTCTTTAATGGTCACACATGCAGAGCACACAGCACACACAGTGACATGTGTTCTCTGCTTTTAACCCATCCTAGTACCAGGAGTCTAGTGCTAGGAGCAGTGGGCAGCTATTGTACAATGGGGGGGAAGGGGGGTGTCCGGTGCCTTGCTCAAGGGCACCACGGCAGGGCAGGAGGTGAACTGGGACCTCTCCAAGTAGCAGTCCACACTCCATATTTTTAAGTCTGGTCGGGGACTTGAACCGGCAACCCGACAGCTCCCAGTCCAAGCCCCTACTGACTGAGCCACTGCCGGACTTGGCTTGAATGCACCCGCACCAACAGTTTGTGAAAACATTGATAACCTGAGTTTACCTTCTAGTATGGGCAGCTGTCTGTACGCAGCCAGCCTGGGTTGAAAGACGTTTGTCAAGACGATCCTCTCCATCACTAATAAGCTTTTTTCAAACGTCTCTGACAACAGGATCAGCTGTGAGTTAGCCTCCGTGTTCGAACTGTTCTCGCTCATTTCCAATTCTAACGCTGAGCTAACTGTGCTGCCTGAGGAAAAGAAATAGGGGGAAATTATTGTTATTCCAAAACTAGTCTAAATAAACATTTCATTATTCGACTTGTCGGTCCCAAGCCTTTGTCAACGTTCTCCGAGGCCTTGTTACCTGTGCAGAGTGTGCTGCTGCTGCTCTTCTCTGATCTCTTCTCTTGACCTTTGATGGTGTTCACAGCTGTTTCTGTGTTGTCTGCCTTTTCCTTTTTTTGGGTTTCATTTTGGACGCAGAAAGAGTCATAGATGTCCCAGATAGAAGCCATCGTGCCTGTGGACATAAGAGATTATTAAGTAGCTGACTTTTTGAGCTGATTGTTTAAGGATAACTCCGTCTTACCTTCTTCCACCATCTCAATCTTGTCGGTCTGGATCCGCATCTTTTTTGTTGTTCCATTGGATGTCTGCATCGATCGTTCCACATACTTATCGTTACCCATTCTGTTCCTGCAGAGCTCAGCATATTGAGTGTTTTTTTCTCTGTAAAAACAAGGAGACAATCAGCGGCTTGTTACAACCAAAGAAGAGTAGTTAAAGACATGAAGGCCCACATACTGCACTCACTTCATAGCTTCTGCATCATCAGCGTCCTCTGACATAAAGGTGCAGGGGATTTCCAGCAGTGAAATTATTTCTGTCTCAGAGAGGCAGATGTGAACTTCCTCATCCAACATCTCCTCGGTCACAACGTGTTTGACATTGTCTCCTTTCCTAGGCACATCTGGCAGGGAAAGAAAGAAAAAAGAAGACAACAAAGGATAAATAAATAATGAAAATACATGTATAAAATATCACAAGAGACTATTTGCTGGACAAATACAATTCCATCTCTACTGTATATGTTGAAAGTTTAGTTTACAGTATAACATTTTACTTCTGTGTTGTGAAGAAATGCTTATACTACACATGTTAAAGATAATGCAAATAATGGTGAATTTACAAATCACCATGGGGATGATAACTAACAAAATGACAGCATATACTGTATTTTAAAAGGTATTTTATGCAGCTTTCCCCCCCCCGAAAAAAAACATAAAAATAATCCAGTACCCCAGGTTAATGCAGAGGTGTAGGTGTGTTTAATTTTGTGAAACGATGACAAATATTTTTTTATTTCTCTGATTCACCGCTTTTTTCTTGTTAGCATCACTCCCTCCACTTTGAATTTGGTGTGTTTACAAACAGAAACCAGCAATGCTATCCATCTACAATACCTTGAAAAGAGAATACTCACCGCTTGTAGCTGGAGGGTTTATTGGTATGTCCCGTTTAGAATAACAATCCTCAGTCAGTGACGCTGAGGTAGACTGGCTAGAAGGGAGGGTGCTACCCCAAATTGAGCTGCAAAACAATGTAATTAATTAGAACATTTCTATAGATTGAGGGCTAAAACAAGCTAACAAGAAAAACGCCATCACTTTCCCCTTTATCAATACATCTGTTCACACAAGACTTTTGAGAAGTTAACAGAGTTGTGCCATAAACAAATAGGTTGCACAGCCTCCACTCTTCCACTCTCACTCAACTTCCCACACATGGTACCTCAAAGCATGCACACTGAAGCTTGAAGTGGATTTAAAGTGGTCCGATCCTGAGCTGGAAAAGATTTCGTCCAGGATGATTCTGTCTGGTTTGGCCTTCATGTCTCCTGGCTCTGCTTCATTCACTTGCTGAGGAGCGACATCATGGCCATGATCGTCCAACACCTGCAAAGGAACCACAGCCAGAATCTGTTATGGTTTACTCTATCATCGTAAACCCTCAACAAGTGGGTTTTGGACAGATATACAGAAATGTATTTTCAGGAAAATTGCTGGGAAATACATTATAACTACAACTGAATGTGTTAATATTTTACAAATAAAAAAAGAGGAGACCCCTACCAAATTATATTTTACCATTGAGACAGGAAGTAATAATTTAAGCAATACATCTGTCCTGTTTAGATCTCACCTTTACTCTCCTGGGGGCTTGCTCGGTGGTCTTCTCCAGGCTCCTGTGTTTCCTATTGCTGCCACCGGCCATGATGGAACTTCTTCGGCTGTGTGACCCAGTGAAGCTCAACATGTGTCTTGAGCCTTGGCTGACAGGATGAAGTCCTGAGACTGACTTATGCATTGCTCGAGAAGATCTGGGAGAAAGTTAACACATCAACATAACAGGTTAGCATAGCCACCACCACTAGCTTAGCACATGTAGCTAAAAGCTAAGTGTTTAACCTGAGTTTAAACCATAGGTGTTAAAAAAAACACCACCTATGAACTTACGCGTTGGGCAACATACTACTTTTCTTTTTTGTTTCCATAGTGCTTCTTTTAGTTTGTGTGAAAACAAGTCTGGCTCTGTTATTAACTTAAAGGCTAGCTAACCGCGTATATTTTCGACCGATCTGTTAGCTCAAGCTTCCTTTGCTTTATGTTGCTATGGAAACATGACGACACTGCTGCCTGCACTGTCAGTTGGTCAGTAAGATTGAGGTTGGCTTCACATAGTTTGTTTTGATCATGTATATCCGTTTTTCACTCAACAGCAATGTTTTTTTAATGTGAAACTGGCTGAGTTTGAGTTATACATAGTCTACTGCTGTATACAGACAATCAGGAACTTTTGGAGCGTGGAAATATGCACATTTGTTTATTACAGTTATCACAACTTCCGCACACATGCTCACTTCAGCGTTAATGATATAGCCTACTTTGTACATTTCAACACCTAAGATACTTTTACTTAATAAGTGCTGTATTTCTACATTCAGAAAATTGAAGTTCTTGTACATATTTGATAGCTGCAGATTTACCAACTGTGACTTTACAGCAATATAGGATCTATCTACTTGAATGTGTCGCTAATTATAATCCAGCAAAGTATTGTGATTCCTAAATGGACAATTCTGCATAATGATAACTCAAAGTGAGCCTTATTTTGATTATAATGTTTAGAACAAGTCCTGATTGAGTTATTGTAACTAAGTATTTCTAAACTACTTTATAGCATTGCTATGTTTGAAATACCTAAATTCCATCACTATGTGAGCATGAAATCACTTACATGCACTTTAAATACAAATATTGTCAAGAACTGGCCTTCCAATTGAAATATACCATTAGTATAAGATTCTTGTTAATGCATGGTATATGGCTAAAGAAGCAGATTAAGGATTATTGCATGAAGCCCATTGTCCACTAGGTGGCATTAAAAGAGTGAGATACTACAAGGACCACTGCAGTTTACCTGTACTACAATTGCAGTTATATTGCTACATCTGCAACAGCTTCTGCTGCCTGTGTTTCAGATATTTGACTAACTTGCCACAACTGAAACTACTTATCAAGAAGTAGAAGTATAAAGAAGCAAAACATGAACATTCTTACAGTACTTTTTTAAAAATTATTATTTGGGTCGCTATTATTCTCCACAAAGTGGTAGTCTTTCTCACGTCCACACCAAAAATAACAATCAAATCAATGCAATTTTTTTAATAGGCAACACAAAAATGTTATGTCACCATTTTTGGTGTTTTGACCAAGAAGGAATCTTTTTGACTTGTATTATTCATGTATTTAATTGGGACACTGCTATACAGATTCAAGGCTTTTATTGTCATTCGTATATAGCTACAGTATCGATATGTCAATGAAAATCTTAGGTCACAGGTTCCTCCAACGGTGCAACATAATAAAACAGACAAAATAGTGCAAGTAATACAAATGAAATAGAATATAAATAGTGCAAGGAGAGTCTACAAGTAATTGGAATATGATATATAAGATAAATAATTTTTAAATTGCAGACAGATGGATGTCCTTTCAAAAGTGTAATTTGCTCATAGGGTCTCAAAATACCATAATATTAGATGAAATGTTATTGTGTTAGATGTAAATTAGTGTAATATTATGAACAGTGTAGTTTTTTTCTCATTTAATTTATACTGAAATCTATATTGTATATTGTTCAATGTGCTAGTTTATAATAATAAGTCTCTTTTTGGGAAAAATGCATAGTCAATACACCTTCTAGAATCTAGATATTCTGAATAAAAAAAAAAAGGTCAAACACTTCCGGGTTTAGGGACTACAATCCTGTAATAAATCACGTGATGTGTGCATCAATTCTCCCCCTCCTCTTTCCCCCATCATCCCCCTCTGCAGCGAGCATCTCCCGGATCCCGGCCGAGTGTCAGTGCGCCTTTAAGAGCCCTATATCCCGCTGTCCTCTGCACTAAACCTCCATCAGAGAGAAAAATGTCGGCCAGCTCCGCTTTCAACGATGAGAAGGGAGGCTCGTCCAGCGTCGGGGAGCCGGAATATGGACACGACCCGGCGAGCGGAGGGATCTTCTCCTCCGACTACAAAAGGTACAGAGCCACCAGGTGCAGCTTGACGCGGATTTTATTTGTCGTGTTGT